AGAAATATCTCTAAGAAAACTAATGAATCTCTAATACTAAGAACGTTCTCCAATAACTCTCTACAAAGGCTCTCAAAACTATCTCTAAAAAACTGTCTGAGGAATCCTCTTAAAGTTGGGCCTTATATACGTCTTCTAATGCGGAGAAGTCAAGCGCGCAGTTAACCCTGGATCAGCACGGCCGTGCTGTATTTGGCACGGCCGTGCTAGCTTGTCAGTAAGTAAACCGGATTTCTCCTTCAGATTGGCACGGCCGTGCTATATATGGCACGGCCGTGCTATATATGGCACGGTCGTGCAGCTTCCTGGCACGGCCGTGCTAAAAATGACACGGCCATGCTGAATATGCTCTAGCACGGGGCTCATACTGAAGCTGACACGGGCACGGGCAACATCTGGCACGACCGTGCTAATGGCCTGCACGGCCGTGCGGGTGCGTGGATACTGACACGGCCGTGCTATTGGCTTGCACGGCCGTGCTGCCTTGCCTGGGGTTGCTTGCTTATAGGCCAGCACGGGTGTGCCTATGGTAACACGGCCGTGCTGCCTGTGCTATGTAATCAATGCACGACACTTGAACTTCCTTAACTCCTCGGACTCCGGTCAAGGCTAGCTCGGTTACGCATCAAGGGCTCGGGATCCGATTAAACTCGGTTGATATTACCTGAAAACACATCAAAAACAAACCGAAAACCCGTGAAGCACGTAATATGGGGAACGTAAGCATAACAAGGTAATAATCAGCCAAAGCGGCCCCAAATACATCCAAAATCATCCTAAAATATGCTCTAAAGCGCGCCCTAAAGTGTGCTTGTCATGGCCATTAGACAAAGTTTTGATGAACGAGAAAAAAAAAAGAAGCTAGGCAAATAAATACACCATAGTTGCCTGACCTCAGACAATCATCATAGCCATGTCCAGCAAAGCAGCATAGCAAGTGTTAGTTTCACAACCCCAAAGTTTTCCCAACCCCTACCTATTGCTTTTCCCCTCCCTTCGCTTCTATAAGAGGCCAATAGCCACCAATCACAAATAACACCACCAAGCACCAATATATCAGACCATGGCCATGGATTCTGATTCTCTCTCCTCCCTCCATAAAGTAATCCCCCTAGCGAGGACGCGACACAAAGTGAGGGGTATATTGGAAGCAAGATTTAATTTAGTTACGAGAAGCATGTAGGAAGATGAGAGTTCAGCGTAAATTGGGAGAGTGCAAGCCTCTCGGAAGCTTGTAGATTGTAACAGATTTTTCTGTTCAATCACAGTTCCCACCTTACTTGCTACTAATCAGTTCATAGTAACCCCCTATTCCCATGATTCTTCTGACTTCAAGACGAGCCTTTCAGTAATCAGTAATCACCCACATTGTCCCTGCAGACTTTTTGTAGACCCCAACAGCGTGTAATTATTGTATGATGCAGACTATCATGCATCAACGACACATCATAGGGGCAGGTTTTCAGAAGCTGAGGTAGCTTATTTGCAGGTTACGGGGAGAAGGAATTATGCCAAGAGGCTATAGAGAAAATTTTCATATCCAACTATTTTACTTCTTGTCAGGGTTGTCATCATCAAATCATCAGCAGTGATTGTAGTCAGATTGGATCATGATCTAAAATGGCAAGTGCAGTATGTAGAATTAGATGTTATTTGCACCATAGTATGAACCAAAAATTTGATCAAAGGCTATAAATACATCCTCCCATCTTGAACTTAAATTACCCTTCACTAGGATACAATTTACACCCTCTATGTAAGATTTTTTTGAAGACATTAATAGCATGTAGCTTCAGCATGCCAAATCTTAGGCAGCTCAGCTAAAATGGGCATACTAAAAACCTTGCAGCTCGTTTCAGAGACAATAGGGTTACAGAATTTATATCCAAAGTATTTCTTATGCTTCATATTTTCTATTACCCTTTAAGGATGATAGTCAATGGTTATGGGAGAAAAGCATATGATCGAAATTGGAGTTGCATAATCATAAACATTGGCACGAAATTTCCTTACATATTTCAAGTAGTTTTAATATCATTACCACAATGCTAAACAGTTCAACAAAAAGAAGCATGAATTTGCAACTTTATATTATTTTATTAATGAATCTTAGCAGAGATTCCAGTAAATTAAACACCATAGACCAGAATATTAAACTCCATTCAGAAATGACATATATTAACAATGTAGATGTAAGTTAGGAATACTAATGTAAAACTAATGGGATAACAAGTAACAATCCATTTATAACAAGTTTTAATGTTTTCTTAATTTTAACTGTAATGAGAACAACCTTTACACAGTTTGCTTCATAAAAATCTTGTATATGTCCTTTTTATGCACATATAAATACAAACTTACTGTTATGTTTTGAGGATATGTGCCTGTGAGCTCCCGGAATCGACAAACACTAAAGAGAAGGTTTTCAAAACTGTCCCTTGCATGCTCTTCTGTAAGTTCTCTCTCCCTGACATTTCCTTCCCCTGTAGAAATTATAGCACAGTAACAATAATCAATGGAGGGTACCACACAAATACAAGTAAAGAAAATTAATACGAAAACATTTTTGTGCTCTATCCTTTATTTCCTTGCTCTATTTATGACGCGGTGACCTACCCATCCTAACCAGGGTAGTGCCAAATATAATTCATGTGAAGATAAGCCATAAAAGGTGACGTAAACTGTTATGAACCGACTTCCGGTCACCGGAGTTTAGTGATTAATTGTAATAATTAGATAGAAGGAAGGCTTGATTCTTGTTTGATTAATTTAGATAAACGATTACAAGTGATAATGGGAGTAACTTGAGGTTACCAATCTCCGGCAACTTGAGGTTGCTACTCTCTTGTGTTTTCTTACAAATTTCTGGATGCCTTCACTAAACATACTACTACATTACTTATACTTCTACTTAGGAGTCACATGTGACTTAATTACTACTTTAAGAAAAACCATACATAACATAACTGAAGCTGCTTGTTCTTCTTTCCTTCTTCTACTCTTAATTACTCTTGTCTTTAGCTCTTTGTTGTGTTTGACCCCTTGCTCATCCCTCCCCTGTTTCTGCTTCCTTGCTCTTCTCGGTATTCCCTCCTTGACCACGGTTATCAACCTTACCCCTACGATGGTAGACCCGAATAGGTGGAGCTCTATTTGGGTTCATCACATTACCCGCCGCCTCAAGATTCACCTTGTCCTCAAGGTGAAAGGCGGGAAAGCGATCCTTGATGGTGGTGGCCTCCTCCCAAGTTGCTTCGAACGGTGGCAGCCCTTTCCACTTGATAAGAACCTCCGTTTGAGAACCATCTCCCCGCTGCCCTGTACGCACTTCCAATACTTCTTATGGTTCTACAACCATCACTAATTCGGATGTATCTGCTCCGGGATTGTCGGATTGACCGGTGTTGTCCCAATTGCATTCTTTAATTGTGAAATGTGAAATACAAGATGAATATGACAATGCGCCGGCAACTCCAATTTGTACGCCACCTTCCCTACTCTCTTCACAATCGGAAACGGCCCATAAAACCTCGCCGCTAATTTCTCATTGGGTCTTCTAGCCAAGGATTGCTGCCGATACGGCTGTAGTTTCAAATAGACTTGCTGCCTGACGTCAAATCACTCATCACGCCTCTTTTTATCGGCCTGTTCCTTCATTCCCTGGCAGCCTTTAACAAGGTAATTCGCAATTCATCCAACAGAAGATCCCTTTCCTTCAATCCCTCCTCAAGAGTATCCACCGGTGTGCGATTGTTACCGATTCGCCACAACTTTGGTGGATCCCGGCCGTAAACGATCTTGAATGGTGATAGCTTGGTGGTCGAGTGAGGGGCCGTGTTGTAAGAGTATTCGGCCCACGGAAGCCATTGAGCCCACGTCTTGGGCTTATCCGCCACGAAGCAGCGAAGGTAAGTTTCAAGGGTCTTATTGACGATCTCGGTCTGTCCGTCAGTCTGTGGATGGTAGGCGGTGCTACGGAGCAAGCTCGTCCCTTGAAGGCGGAAAAGCTCCTTCCAAAATATACTCATAAACACCCGATCCCGGTCAGAAACTACGGTGGAAGGGAAGCCGTGCAACCTCACCACCTCCTTGACGGAATAATCGGCCACCCTAAGAGCACTAAAAGGGTGTTTGAGGCCTATAAAATGGGTGTACTTCGAGAAACGATCCACTACCACCAAAACCGCGTCCATCCCCTTTGAATTCGGCAATCCTTCGACAAAATCCATCGATATATCTTCCCACACCATTGTCGGAACCGGTAGTGGCTGAAGCAACCCTAGCGGATGTTGTTGTACCACCTTGTTCCGTTGGCAGACTTCACAACTCCGAACAAAATCCCCTATCTGTCTTCTCATTCCAGACCAATACCAATCCGTGGCTATCCGCAAGTACGTCCTCACCTCGCCGTTGTGGCCGGCGGTTGCAGTTGAGTGATACTCATGGAGCAGAGTTGGGATGATAAAAGATGGTTTGGGAATCACCCATCTGCTTTTGTATAAGACCCTCTTTCCTTCTAATGTGAACCCAGCAGGAACATCCTTATTGGACTCAAGGCCCAACTTAATTAATTTGCTGAAGCCACTGATCTTTTTCTATTTCCTCCTCTAACTTAGCCCAGTCAATATTACAAGAGTGTATCATGGTGGATAGTTGAACCTCGGCTTGACCCTTGCGAGATAAGGCATCGGCAACCCGATTCGAAGCCCCTGGCTTGTATTGCACTTCAAAATCGAACCCAACTAATTTCCGTAACCACTTTTGATATTCCCCTCCAACCTCACGTTGCTGAGTTAGATATCGGAGGCTTTGTTGATCACTCCTCACGATGAAATGCCTCCCCATCAAGTAGTGTTTCCACTTCACTATGGCCATGCAAACGGCCATCAACTCTTTCTCATAAATGGACTTCCCTTAACCCCGAACACCCAAGAGCTTACTAAAGTAAGAGATTGGTCGCCCTTCTTGCATAAGGACGGCCCCCAAACCGAACCCCTAAGCATCGGTTTCCAAGATAAATTGTTTACCAAAATCCGGCATCGTCAACCGGAGCGGTGGTCATCGCCACCTTCAACCTTTCGAACGCTTGCCTTGCCTCTTCACCCCACGCAAATGCATCTTTTTTGAGCTGGGAAGTAAGTGGGCCAGCAATGTTAGCATAATGGGCCACAAACTTCCTACAGTAACCAGTGAGCCCAAGAAATCCCCTCAATTCCTTGATATTCTTTGGGCTGGGCCAATCTAAAATGGCCTTGACTTTGTCTTCATCCATTGCTACTCCATGTTTGGAAATTACGTGACCCAAGTAAGCAATTCTTTGCTTACCAAATTCACACTTCTTGTAATTAGCATACAAGGAGTGTTCTGCCAATTTTTCCAACACCAACCTCAAATGATCATGGTGTTCCACCTCATTAGAACTATAGACAAGGATGTCGTCGAAGAAGACTAACACGAACCGCCGAAGGAAGGGCCGGAATATGTCGTTCATAAGCGATTGGAAAGTGGCCGGGGCGTTAGTGAGGCCGAACGGCATCACTAAAAACTCATAATGACCCTCATGAGTACGGAATGCCGTTTTATGAGTGTCATCGGGCTTAACCCGAATTTGATGATAACCGGACTTCAAGTCCAATTTCGAAAATATGGATGCTCCATGTAACTCATCGAGTAGCTCATCAATAACCGGAATTGGATATTTATCGGGCACGATCTCCCTATTGAGCGCCCGATAATCCACACAAAATCGCCAACTCCCATCTTTCTTCTTAACTAGTAGAACGGGACTTGAGAACGGGCTTGTAGAGGGCTTGATAATTCCGGCTTCAAGCATTTCCCGGATTAGCCTCTCGATCTCATCCTTTTGAGCGTGAGCATACCGGTATGGTCTCACACTTACGGGATCACTCCTTTCCTTCAACACAATTGAATGTTCATGCCCCCTACTTGGAGGTAAGCCATGGGGCATTTTGAACACTGCTTCAAATTCTTGCAACAAGCCACTCAGAAAAGATGGAGCTGGGCCCAATTCTGAAGGCCCAATTGAGGACTCTACTTGATTAATCTCAACCAGAAGCCCACCCTTTTGCTTCCCCAAAGTCCGTATCATAGCTTTTAGAGAAATAGAGGACTTCTCTAAAGTTGGGTCGCCGGTGAGAACCACGACCACTCCGGCCACCGTGAAATGCATTTCATGCGTTTTCCAATTGGTGGTCACCACCCCTAGCTTCTCCAACCATTGGACTCCGAGTATTATGTCCGCATTTCCTAACCCGAGGGGAAGAAAATCATCGATCACCGTCACTCCGCCGGACAATTTAATTCGAACACCAAGACATGCACCTTCTCCTCTCACGGTGTCACCATTTCCTAGTGAAACCTCAAATCCACCGCCTTGTGTCACCGGAATTTTCGCCTCCTCAACGACCTTGGCCGAGATAAAGTTATGAGTCGCACCCGGATCTACCATTACTACCACCTCCCGACCCATGACCTCCCCTTTGACCTTCATGGTCTTTGGGTTCGAAATGCCCACCACGGAACATAGCGACACTCCCACCGGATTTTCCCAAACCTCTTCGTACTCCTCTTCTTCACCCAAACGGTCGGTTTCACCATCACCTCCTTCACCGGCGGCGATAAGAACACTCAATTCCTTTCTCTTGCACCGGTGTCCTACACCCCACCTCTCATCACACCGGAAACAAAGGCCCTTGGCCCTCCAATCTTGAAGCTCCGATTCGGTCAAACGTCGTGTTGACCCCACCGTCCTGCTACTCGGAGTTGAGCTGGGCTGCCCTTGGTTAACCGAGCCTTGGGATGGCTCAGGTGCCTTGGGCCATGATTTTGGGCCTGCTAGCAGCCCATATGTCTTAATGAGGCCCGAATTTGCCCCACTCCTTTCTAGTGAGCTGCTAGTATTTGACCCACCAAAATTGGTCCCTCCTAACGTTGACCCACTCTTCCATCCACCACCCCAAGACCTCTTCTCTTGGCTAAACTTGTTTCGCTCTTCGATTCTTACGGCCACCTCCATTGCTCTCTCCAAGCTCACCGGATTCAGCAATCTTAATTCCTCCTTGATATCCTTACGGAGGCCATTAATGAACTGCCCCAACATGATACTCTCCGGAATATCTTCCAATGGAGTCGCCGTGTCTATGAACCGCCGTCTGTACTCCATCACCGACCCCCCTTCTTGTTGTACGGCCAACCACTGTTCGTGAAGGGAGCCTGAGTTGGACGGCCTAAACTCGTTCAAGAGCCGTTGCTTGTGGTCCGACCACCCGTAAAACGGCCGCCGTTTTTGCTCCCATTGGAACCACTTCAACGCCCCTCCGTCCGTGGCTACCACCGCCGCTTCCATCTTCTCTCTCTCCGATAAGTGGTAAACCTCAAAATACAGCTCCGTCCTTATTATCCAATTGTCGGGTTCAGTTCCGTCGAAGGTGGGTATCTCCAACTTGCGGTGCCGCCATCGACCTCCGCCACCGCCACGCCACCCACCTGGCTCAGGGGGTGCCATTCCTCCTCATACGGACGCGCCTCCACTGGGGTTCGCACGCGCTCAATGGTTGCGAACTATTCTCTCCGACGATCGGAACGAAGGGTGTATTGGGTTGTGGTTGGGCTTGCCTGAGTTTCTCTAACTCTCGCTGTAACTTGGTGACATTAGTGCAGTCGATTGCTCCTTGATTCATGACGTCCGCTCTGATTTGGTCGACGCGACGCTCCAGACGGAAAGTCGCTGCCGCCACCACCTCCTCCGTTTTCTTCCGTTCATCCTCCATCGCCGCCTTGACGGCCGCCGCTACCACCCGAGTAATGGAGTCTTCCTCCTCTGGTGGCTGCAACTTTCCTTCAATAGCAGTAAGTTGCGCCTTCAAGCCGGTAAGTATCTCTTCCACGGCGCTCAGCCGCTGCTCGGTGTTGCCTGCCATGACCGTGCCTCTGATACCAATTTGTTATGAACCGACTTCCGGTCACCGGAGTTTAGTGATTAATTGTAATAATTAGATAGAAGGAAGGCTTGATTCTTGTTTGATTAATTTAGATAAACGATTACAAGTGATAATGGGAGTAACTTGAGGTTACCAATCTCCGGCAACTTGTGGTTGCTACTCTCTTGTGTTTTCTTACAAATTTCTGGATGCCTTCACTAAACATACTACTACATTACTTATACTTCTACTTAGGAGTCACATGTGACTTAATTACTACTTTAAGAAAAACCATACATAACATAATTGAAGCTGCTTGTTCTTCTTTCCTTCTTCTACTCTTAATTACTCGTCTTTAGCTCTTTGTTGTGTTTGACCCCTTGCTCATCCCTCCCCTGTTTCTGCTTCCTTGCTCTTCTCGGTATTCCCTCCTTGACCACGGTTATCAACCTTACCCCTACGATGGTAGACCCGAATAGGTGGAGCTCTATTTGGGTTCATCACATAAACATACAGGAAGAGGAAAGAAGCATGCCAAACAAGTTTTAGATAGGAATTTTCAAATTTTTAGCAGATTATCATCAAATTTTACGTATCTTAGTTGATAAGACAAAATAGCAGTTCAATGGTGACTCAGTGAAGGTATTCTTTCTTTCAGACAATTTCTGGCCTTTGAGATAAAAAATGGAACGCCAAACATTACGAAGTATTAAGAGCAAATTCCAAAAATTTATCATAAAAACTCCTCAAAAGATCTGAAACTATTAGCCATTCCTTACATAGAATACATACCACTAGCCCCAACACCATTAGCTACCAACCAATGGCAGGTTAGGAGGGTAAAATTCATGCAAATTTAACCATGAAGCATTGCAGCTACAAAGAAGATGTTTGCACCTTAAACATGATCTAAGACATTATGAATTCTTGATCTTCAAAAGGCTACTTTTATTAGGCCCTTGATCTGATTGGCAACTGAGTATATTAGTAAAAACAGTTCATTTGATAGCTTTTATTTAGTCCACTGTAACCCTCAGTAGATATATACACGTTAAAATAAATTATCTAGTAATATGGCAACCTTATCTGGTCAAAAGATCAGGCAAAGACCCATAAGTCCAAGGACCAAGCAATATAATGTCACTGTACATATATATCAGGCGCTGCCACTGTTGTGCACTCAAGCATATTTATACCAAACAAAAAAAAAATTCAACCAGCCTGAACGAAAATCTTAACTATGGTCCCAAACAAAATGCTATCCTCAACATTCTTAAATAACAAGTATAAATCCAAAGAAATTATTCAGTACCTAGATAACAAGATAAGACTTAATTTGAAACTGAATAGATTCAATCCCATGTCCAGAAATAACCCAAAGGCAATTGAAACAAATAAGGAAGAATAATAAATAGCCCATATCCAAAAGGACACAAATAAGTGCTGACTGATCAAAAGTGTATATGGCTTAAACTTATATGATAACTTCTTTTATCTCCTTTATCCCTTGGTCCTATAGTGAAATGCAATTCCTGAATTTCATAGCAACCACATTAACTTTCTTCTCTCTCTCTCACACCAATTTAAAATATGAAGTGAATCAAGACATTCATGCTTCCCAATATACTCATATTCTCTATCTTGGTCATTTGATTCATTAGAAAAGCTGAAAAGTACCTTCCACCATACACTGAGCTTCTTTCTGAATTTTAATCTCTAGAGGACTGCTTCCTCAATCTTCTTTCCTGTATGCTTTAATTAATAATTAAACTGCTTCCATGGTAGCTTCATTTTCTCCCTGCAAAGTCTCCCTCTCAAGTTGAACTTGATGACAAAGCTCCTCCACTTTAGCTTCAGATTTCCACCTTTTAGTGATTCAAAGCCTTGTGCTTTGGTACACTATTGTATATCTTCTTCCTAATTTCTAATCTATTAGTGACTAAGACATTTTTAAGATGACTGAACAAAGCTCAATGCAGACTGTTTGTTTAAATAGGTTTCCAAGTTTAACATAAAGCTTTGATTAACAGGACATCAAGAATTAACAATCAAAAATTTAAAGCTTTGATTAATGGAGTCATACGGAAGTCACAATCAAAGGACAAACGTAGACAAATGTAGCACATTTACATAAGCAAACCCTAAATTAAAGTTACCCCTTAGTCCCTTACCTTATTCCTTAATCTAGATTGATTGTGCTTCAGTGTACTACTGTAACCATTCCATAAGAGTAAAAGACAAGGTCCAACCATACTTGGATATAAAAAATAAATAAATAAATAAAATAAAATAAAAAAAAACCCTGCTAACTGATCACTATTAATTATAGGCCATGTAGTGCATTGTATAATCTCCCACAACATTAATCATGACGTGAGACCATACAATGTTACAATGGTTTACCCAGCATTCATATACGCAGAACTCTTTTCGTAATCATCTACACAACATATAAGATGACCACTTTCTGAAATTAGCTTAAGTGGAGCTTTATCTCCAAGAATGACTATCTTTAAAAATGAATGAAATAAAATATATACTCCCTCTATCCCATTATATAGTTCTTTCAAGGTATTTAAGAAATAGGAGGAAAAAGTGCATGAATTACATTAATAAAAGTGAAAAAGTACAATCGTAGACAAAAGTGAGAAAGAGAAAGTGGAAAAAAGTATAATGCATGTGCAAAATTCAAGAGTAAATTAGGAAGTACAATGAATAAAGTTAAAAAAGTAAGAGTATAATACTATCCAAAAATAGAAACAGGGACAATATTTTGGATCTCAAAAATAGGAATACAAGAACTATATTATGGGACGGATGGATTACATATTAAACATAAATAAATTACTTTTTTTTTAAAAAAAAAAAAGAGAAGAAGATTAAAATACACCGGGTTAAAACCAATCAACTCTAGAAAAAGGATAATAATTCATTGCAGTAAAGACCATATTGTTTTTTTTTAATAACTTATTTGATTATAACCAATAGAACATGAATGGTTCTTTTTTTTTTTTTTTTCCTTTCTCCTTTTTTTTTTGGCTTAATGTCCTTGGTGGTTAGAACATTACCTTGTATACCATAGGATGAGTTCTAATCTCTTACCCAACATTCTTTTTTTTTCCCTCTTAATGTCCTATTGCAGTACATAGATGTGTCTTGTTTTTTGTAAAAAAAAATTTAAGACATTGATAAAAGTGTTCAAGTAGTACGATGCCCTACCATTGTTAAAATCTTGGCTCCGCCACTATTTCCAAATATAAGTTACATTAGGCAAATTTAAGTTTAAGTTAAGCACAAAAGAAGTTTAATTAAGTTAAAGTTAGCACAAAAAAAAAAAAAAAAAAAAAAAAAAAAAAAAAAAACAACAACAACAATAAAGATTTTAATTTAAGCAAAGTATTGTTAATCACAACAACATTAAGCTGAGGGGAAAGAGACATAGAAATACTAAGAAAATTGAAATTCGATGATTTCATTTGTGCTTTCTCATCATTAAATATCTTTAATTTTGTAATTAAAAATTATGAACATTTAATTTTTGGAAAATACACAATAATACGAATCCAATGACATCTCATTTGAGAAGTTTTTATCTTAAGGATTAGTGTACAAATTACGTCAAAGTTTATTTTAATCTAGAATCAGATCTAGCAAAACTTCAGATCATGTGAACTAACATAGCTGAAATCTAGGATTTTATGAAGGAAAACCTACTAAACAATCTCACCTACAGAATTATATCTCCAAACAAAGATTAGCATTCACATGAGGGTATCAAAGAATTTTCTCTATGAAAATCCTTTACAAGCCAGCTTTATTAAAAAAAGAAGAAAACATACCCCAATTATTAAAAGATTTCGAATGGTACTGGAATCTCCAGTAGATTAGGTGTTGTTTCCATGCTGGACAGGTCAACAAAACACTAGGTTGCTCATGAGTGAGTTTCATGCCTAAATCTTGTGCACCATTTTCTTTGGCTTAATCTGTTGTTTCTCCAAAAGAACACTTTAAGGGTCATACTATAATAGCTTGATAGATATGGTGGTATGACTATAATACCTAATACTACGTATAGGTTATTACATAACTTCAACTTTCAATAATATACTATTGGAGAATCATCATTTTTTTAATACCTGACTCAATTTCCGCTCAGCAATATCAATCAAAACTTAGGCCTTCACCTTAAGAATTTCCTCAAATTCCTATGAAAATTCTTACTTCGTATAATAGTAATCAAAACCAAGGATTTAGCTTCAAGGAATTCCTCATTTCCTATTGAAATTCTTAAAATTACTCAAAAATTAGGACTTTGCTTCATGGAAATCCTCAATTTCCGATATTGCCAGTGCCTAAAACAACATATTCGATAATTTCTCAAATTCCTAAGGAAACCCTAATAATACTACAGATTTTCTGTAAAGACATTGTATCAATGTCAGGGTGATTAATTATTCAGAAAACAACACTGGTGCATAATACTGCATATAACAGAATTGAGCAATGATAAAATAAAAGGCAACATTTAAAATTTAGTTAAAGCATAGTATCAATCATATTACACACATTCTTTCAAGTAAATTAGGAACTGGCAAAAGGCATAGACAAACAATATAGATGAACTCACCAAACCACCCTTTCGATTCGGCAACAAGCCAGTAACTCTGGGCTTCACTACGAGGACCGGCGTCCTTTCGAGTCTCGCCCCCACTAAACAACAACAAAGCTTGATCATCCTTAGCAGCAACATCAACACCCTCCTTAATATGTTCCAAAAATGTGGCAGCTTGTCCAGGATGCATTTGATAAGATTCCAAAAACCAAGACTTCTCATTATCAACTTTCCCACAATTACTACTAGTATAAACTGAATGCCCAGCTACCATCACAAGATTTGTAAGCTTAGGAAGCGGATAAAAATCCGGTTTCGCATCGAATTGCCTATAATTATACACTAATCGAACACGATTTTCATAAAATATAAGTATGGTTATAATTGCAATCCCAAATGACAAAATTAGCAAAAAGACTAATACAGGATGTAATTTGTAATAATACTTGACACGATTTGCAACTGATTTGAACATGATCAAATTAGATTTAGAATTTCTAGTTCTTCTAGGGTTTCTAAAACCTAATGATTCGATATCGATCTCAACTCTAGGGTATGCATCAAATTTCTTTGGAGTACTACCTCCTCCAATTGAGCGACCACTCATCCTACTAAACAAAGAATTGACATGAAATTACCCAGAAAATATCGATCATTTCTTAGTAAATGAATTATGAATAAAAAAAATTGAAGAACAATATCAAAATCAGAAATTTGGGATTTTAATAAAACTACAATTGATAATTGATCACAAATAGTAATTGTTTCGGTTGAAAACAATGGGACCTTGCCGAAGGTCCGCTGAAATGGAGAAGACTGGATTCGGTCCAAGTTGTGTTGGGCCGAAGGTTTCCTGCACAGTGAACACACGTAAACTAGCCTCGGGGGTGTTTCCGAGGAAGGCCCCTCCGATGCTAAAGTCAGTACAATGTGTAAAAGGAAGACACTATGCAAGAGAGTTTGTAGCTTGAGGCTTTTGTGGAATATTTCTGAATGCAAGAATGAGCATATGACTTAGAATCTCAACGTCCATCTATGAATGTGTCAATATGATGGCTTTTATATCTCATCATACATGGTGAGGTTGGGCCTTAGCCCAATTGGCATGCTTTGTGGGCTGACCTTTGACTTTTGTGCAATTGGAGAGTTGAACCTTGACCTTGGGCTTTTAATTGGATCATTTAGTGCTTAGGCCCAATTTTGACTAAATTGGACCCAAACAACTTGCCCCCCAGACCCGATTTGGAAGGATGACGGGTCGGGTTTGATTTAATTCAGAAAAGGAGGGAAGTAAATGATTTAATTGATCCAAAAATTTGAATTTAAACCGTAATTAATGAGATAACAACGGTTAATGATTTGCGGAAGTTGGACAGATAATGGGCAGTTTAATCACAAGACATGTGTTTAATGGTTACTTAGTGGGTATTTAAGAGAAATTAAAGCATAGACTCTTCGTATCCCGTACCTGGAGATATAAACAGAGGCGTGTCATTCTCCTCACTTATTCACCAACACAAACCCAGAATTCCTCGAGAGAGAAACCAAGAACCCGCATCAAAACTTCGCAAATTCCCCGAGCATTGAGCTTAGAAACTGAGACTTGCCACTACGAACTCGTAAATCGGCAACTTTCGCTTCAGATTAAGGTAAATTCCTTTGATTTCAGTTTATTTTTCTTCGAATTCGAACTCCTTCCCCTTTCCTTTCGACTTTTCTCTTCGAAATAATCCATGGCAAGAGGAGTTAGAGGTAGAGCCCGTGCTCCAAGAAGAGCAAGGCCGATTCCCGATCCTAGGAACAGGATTGGGACCTGGAATGGTCAAAGGCCGGAGTCTGACCCTGCTGAAGGGATTAGGGCGACTCCCCTTTCCTCGGCTCCTCCTCAAAGAACGGATGAGCCGAGCGCTTCTGGACGGGATGATGAAGTTCCCGCTGTCCTTTGGGATATCCTCCCTGGGTTTTCAGAATGGGAGAATGCCGAAGTCGTTTCGGCCATGATAAAGAACCGCCCCTACTCATGGTGGGTAGAGAACGCCGATCAATATCGATTTGCCGAGCAAATTGAGTTGCATTACGGCATTTGTGAAGCTGATGGATATTGGTGCCGAATGCCCTCAGCATCCGATAGAATCCATCGTCCACCCCCGGGGTATGTGGGGGTGTACACGAGACAGCTTCAGTACGGGCTGAGGTTCCCTTTGGACGTTTTCGTCCGAGACTTGCTGATCCATTACAACATTTCCCTATGTCAGCTAACCCCCACCAGCATCCGAAGGGTGATGACATACTTATGGGTCTGCAAGTTCTTCAAGTACGTGCCGAACCTGCACTGCTTCAAAAAGCTCCATCGGCTAGTGCCAAATATTCAAAGTGGGCACGGAAGCCATGGTTCTGGGTGGTACCGGATTGAGTCCCGGCCCCAATACTTGACCATGTGGCCAAACGACTCTTCAGACAAGGACTGGAGAGGTCAATGGGTTTGGGTTAGGGCACCCACAGATCCGGGCCACCCTTGCGTCTTCAGCGCTCCCCGGTACTTAGCTGAGCCTGATCCCGAAATGGGAAGTCTAGGTCCCCCCGCAGATAACGGGGCGGATCCGAACCTGGATCAGCAACATATCTTCGGCAAGCTGCCGAACCCGGGGGGGAGTGGTCGAATGCAGCATATCCCGGAGACTTGGCTCCCCGATACGCATTACGTTTTCCAAGAGAACATGCTAGCAGCTGTTGGCCTCAGCCGAAAGTTTAAGGATGGTAAGCTTCTTCGGCTGGGGCCGAGGCTTTTTAACTACCTCTTTTTCTTCTCTCGCTTTGCTTTTTTTTATGCTGTGCCGATATATCTGAGCTAAACTTTCCCCTTTCCTTTTTTCAGAGCGGGACGAGACCAACGTTGGCATTAACTACGCTCGTCTTGGTGTTAACCGAGAGCGAGTTGTAACTGAACGGGCCCCGTCTATCACTGAGCCGAGGCATAGGGAAGTTCATCTAGACTCTTCCCACTTCCAAATTGAGGCTGTTGCTCTGTATCAGAGGCAGAAGCCTTGGTGGAAGAAGAGAGACCCTTGGTTTCAGCTGCTGAACGAAGAAGCTGAAGCTGCCTGCACAGCCGAAGAGGTTGCACGGGTACTTGAGGCTTGCGAAGGAGGAGAAGGGTCCTCCAGAGCTGCTGAAGCCGAAGCTGCAGCTAGAGCAGCTGAAGAAGACGAGGCTTTGCTGAAGACCTCGGTGAGCTTTCAGACAACTTTTTCTTTTTTCTTTTCTTTTTTCTTTTTTCTTTTTCTTTTTTTTTTTTTTTTTATTACTCACATTCTTCTTCCCCCCTGTCTGTTACAATCTGAAGAGAGTAACAGACACAGAGAAGGCAAAGCTCCTGTTCGTCCCGAAGACCAAATACAAGAGTCTTCAGACTCAGATATGGACGAGCAGCCCCTTCTGAAAAGGCGCCGAAGGATGGCCATCATCGGCCCTCATGACTTTCAGCAGAGGCCGATGACCATCGGCGTCGCAATAAGGGAACCTGAGGAAGGCAACGGATCGCCGAGGGTTCCCCAGCCAACACCCCAATCACCTCAAAAGACCCCTCCGCCACCTCCTGAGATGGAGGTGGATCAGAGAACTCCCGAACCTAAGGGAGGGGTCCCAGAAGAAATCAAGAAGAGTGCTGATGAGCACGAACATAAGGATGCCGTGATGTCCAGCGCTGAGGGCTTCACGGCAGACATCGCAAGAGAGGTTGAGGCTTTCGTCCTCACCCCTGAAGAAGAGGAGGTCATAGTAATTGACTCCTCTGAGAAGGACGATGCTGAGACAACCAAAGCTAATCAAGCTCCATCGTCGCCTTCCCTTCTTTCCAGACTCTGCATTCTGGAGAAATGGGTTTCTCGGCCCCCCGAATTCCAATCCCAGACCACATCTGGGACCTCATATGGGGTCAAAACCGAGAAGGAGCTGCAGCCTACTTCGGCAATTTTGCTGGCATGTCCGAAGTAGACAGGGCAAGGATCTGGTCGCTGAAGGCCACTGCTGGGATGGGCGAATCCAGCAGATCAGTTCCTGACCCAGCCAGGTCAAACCAACTGCTGATGATGCAGGTAATTTTCCTTCATTTCCTCCGAAATTCAGCTCTTTATATATATATATATTTTTTTTTTATTTATTTATTTTTGTCTTCCTGTTTTCAGTTCGTGCACAATCAGACTCTTACTGTAGAGCTGATAGATACCCTACAAGATAGGGTAGACGCTGCTGTGCACGAAAAGAAGGTTGCTGAAGAGGAAGTAAAGCTTGCTAAGCTGAAGCAAGCAGCAGCTGAAGAGAAGCAGCAGGAGGTTGAGGAGTACGGGAAAAAAAGCTGCCGAAGCCCTGAAAACCTTCTGCGATGCTATGGAGAAGGAAGTTTTTCCCCCACTGATGGAAGGGGAAAAATTCCTCCAGGAGCATATGGGAGTGGACGTCTCCAAATTCAAGGCTGCTGTTGAGAGCCGAATTCAAGAAGGAACTGCTGCACAAGCTGAAGTGCAGCAGCGTCTAGAGGCTCTTGAAGCCAGCCGAATGGCTGCTGAAGAGTTGCTCCTGGCCAAAGACGTCCAACTCTCAGAGGCTGCTGCTGCTGCTGAAGCCCAAAGAGCTAAATTCCAAGAGGCTGAGGATCAACTGCTGATCCAGAAAGTTGAAGTGGCCCAAGCTCAGACAAAGGCTTTCCAAATTCAGCAAGAGCTGAATGAGCTGAAGGGTTCCTCCTCCAAAGTCGCTGATGAGTTGAAGAAATCCAAGGAAGACTTGGAGGAGACCCAGAAGAAGCTGGCTGATGCTGAGGCTTTACTCAAAGTCCGTGTTTATACCCAAGAGGAATATGAGATGGGTTTCAGAAACGGATTCCGAGTATGCCGAAGAGTCTGCCTTCATGCTGAGCCGAAGCTGGACTGGTCTAAATGTGCTGAGTGGGTCCAGAATCCCGAAGACCCTCACATGAAGTATGCAACTCCAGCCGAAGCTGAAATTCTTAAGGCTGAGGAAGCCGAAGAGGAAGCTGAGAGACTGGAGTTGGAAGCTGAGCAGAGGGAAAGGGAGGCTCGGCAAAGTGCAAAGCCCGCTTCTTCTGCTGCTGGGGCTGAGGCCACCATGGGGCTCAACGCTGATCAGTCTGATCCTCAGGCTGAAGCATAGGAACTCGGGCAGTCGTCTTCAGAATCTTGCGGTTCATCATGTGCTTAACTTTAGACTTGCCGCTTTCTGAGTTTTTTTGCCTTGTTTTTTGCTTCAGCTTGCCTTGTCGTACAACAGTTTTATTTTTTTGCTTATGTACGTATTTCGGCAGCTGTTATTTTCCGCTTGTGGGCGGCTGCCGATACTGAATTATTGAACTTGTAGCTCAATTTTTGAGCATGAAATATTAATCTAATGCTCTTTTCTTCAGTTGCTTTATTTTGATGCTCTTTTCTTCAGTTGCTTTATTTTTGAATGCTTTACTGCTTCTTTTCTTCAACTCTGCCGAACATAGTTGCACTGAGTGCTTCTTGCCCCCCAGAAATTGAAGTATGACTTCAGTTGAATAAGCAATTTCTGCACTTCTTCAAAATGGGTATCCGAAACACAGGGCCAACT